CTTAGGATAATAAATCCTCTCTCTTTTTTTTTTTTTTTTTTTTTACTTTTTCTTTTTTAATATTTCATCATTTAGAATATGGGATGTAGAGATCTGGTGCTAATAGAGCCTTAGTTTCATTATAACAAAATGCTATTGTTTTACTCAGGATTCTGTATAAGCAACAAACCTGTTGTTTAGCATCATAGCTATCTTTAATCCTTGAATGTTGTGGTTATTATATGCATTTGTTTAGGGCTCACTTTAACGCATTAGATGTTATGTTTAGTCACTATTGGTAATAGTCTTACTTAATTATTAGCAATAGCATTCAGCAACAGAGCTGTTCTTTAGCATCACAGCTTGATTTAACAATCATTGATTCATAGTATAGATTGTTTAACATACATTTCTGGCAATGATTTTGCAGGAACAACTACAAAAATTATCAATTTTCCCTCAAGGACCAGTCAAATTATCACTACCATGTGATTCTCATACTTATCCCAGATGTAGACCAAACAGCTGGAACTTGAAATAGTTACCTTAGTTGATGTTTGACCCAGGTGCAGCCTAACTTAAGATTTAAGTTTAGTTTGAGTTTTGCTCCATGTTCTTCACACCAAAAGTAGACCAGAAAGGTCAAGTTCTTTGGACCGTATCCTGGAATGCAGCTGTGACCGTTCACAGAGGTGGTGATGGTCCAGATCCACATCTCATCAGAGACTCCTCGCTCCATAATGGTTACTAACAGCGTGTCTGAGCTGCTCGTGGGTGTCGTGATTGATGCCTCGGTCTTCTTTCCTCCACTGCTACGTTTATAAATAGATGGGCTGGAGTTGAGCCCAGTTCTCACCGGGGATGATCCACGTTGAACACAGAGGGATATTAGCATATTAACACCACTTCCCAGCCAAACCCAGAAACCAGGTCCTGCCAAGACCAGGATCCGGGAGGGTGCCAGAGAATGTGAGCTAAAGTGGAGATCAAAGTCCCAGTTTTTTTTTTTTTTCTCCTGCGTTTTCATCCTCCCACACACACTTGTTTTTCCCATTGTTTTCCCCACGATGCTCCTCTTTCAGTGTGCTGCATGATTCCCTGTTCTGTTAGACAATCTCCATCACAGTAATACGCTTAGCAGAGAAAGGTCTGGAATTCCTTCAGTCATTGGGAGGTTTAGCTTCAGAATACAGGGTTAGAATGAGACATTCTGTTTGTGTGTAGAACTCTGGGTTATCAGAGCCGTAAGAAGAAACCGCGGTGGCTTTGTTTTCCATTGTCAGTGTTCACGCCACAAACTTGTCTTCTGGATTTAACCCATCTGTGAAACGGGAGCAGTGCGCTGCGCTTTAGTACATCTGGGAAACAGGGGAGTTTTTGGTGCTTACTGAAGACATCACAGCCCAAGTGGACCACGTCTCAGCTACATATTAACAACTGAAGTCTCTTTACTAGACCTATGGTGGTGCAGAGATGTTCCACCAAGGGCAGGGGCCTCCTCTGGTAGGCAACAGAGCATCTCAGGAGAAGCCTGAACAAGAAAAAAAAAGAACAGTGGAAACACCACAGATATAGCCAGAGAGGAAGAAAAATCTACCCCACGATTTCTATTACTTTCACCCCCAGTGTCAAAGCAGTGCAGCAGCAAGAGACAGATCTCTGCACCAGGAAGCCACCCTGAGGAGAGCTGACTGTTGTGGCATATTAATTATAATGTGAACAAGAAAAATCAGAATGGAGTGTTAGTGTGAAGAAAGTCAAGTGTGATCCAGGTTTCCTAGACATTCAGGAAAGACCTGGAACAGCTGAGGCTCAGTGACACAAACTGACCACAGGAGGCAGCAGTGGACCGGTTTCTATGTCCCTCTACGCTGGAATCACTGATTTCCTCCTCTGTATGGCAGAATACAGGTTTTTTTCACTAGATGTCTGTTAATGTGTTATTATCACAGCTGAAACAACTGTTGTGATCAGATTAGACTCATCACATTTACTCAGCCGCTGTCCTCTGCATATGCACCTAAAGATGTTCACAGGCAGTCTTTGAATTATCTCAAGGTAGAGCTATTTTTCCCCCCAAAATGTTTTCATATATTTTCAGAGGTTTGGTGGAATATTTATTCTTTGTGAATCATCATATTTTTGTTCAGTTATTATCTCGTCTTCCTGTGTTGATTTGAAACTGTTGTGAACATGGGAGAGATTTGTGGAGTTTGAACTCAACTCCCACTCATCACAACGGCTCATTTTCCAAAACCTCAGAATCCCCACAGAACATTCCGTACCTTGGTCATCGGACAAACTGTGAGATACCCTTGAATGTCAGTGTCAAAGGTTTCTCTCTCTATACGCGATCCTGTGATGGACCAGTCAATGGCACAGGGTATAACCCCAAAGCCCAAACATTACCAGCTGGGATTGGCTCCATTGCCCCTATGACCCAGCCAGGATTCGGCAGTAGATAATGAAATAAATAAATACTGTAGCTCCCGGAACTTTACTTGTTCCAGTTCATCTCTACTGTGAAAAGCGAGTTAACATGAGTTTCAGCTCATCGTCGAACCAGAAACTACCGCTGGTGTGGACCAGGTTTTGTTGCTCTGGTCCAACATGTTTGAACCAGGGTCTTTTGTTTCCTCCCACAGCCTTGTCACCAGATTTGAACTGCTTGTTTTATTTGTACAGCAGGACGGATTTTATAGATTTTCAGTTTCACGTTTTTCAGCCTCATGACATTTTGAAGGGATTGTGTTTTCAGAGACTTTGCTTTTGTTCAATGTTTCCAGCTGCGTTTTTAAGGGTTTAATCTTTGGAGTCTCTTTTCCTGAGACTTTTTTTTCCATGGGGCTGAAACATTTGGCCATTTACGTTGCCTCGACAGTGTGTCACGTGTTGTCTCTTCTGGGTGTGTGACATATCAGTGGTAATGAGCCGTCAGGACACATCTGCTTCAGTGTTGGACTTTTCCTCTGAACTGATGCTGACACGTTTGTCTAAGAGCAAGCAATAAGCTGCTGCTGACAGTTAACGTGTGTGTGTGAGAAAGAGAGAGGGGGAGAGAGAGAGACAGAGAGAGAGAGAGAGAGAGCTGCCGCTGCTTTTCAAGGACAAACCACTGAAGCTTCAGTGGGATGAAAATCTCATGGGATTTTTTTTTTCTTTTTTCTTTTTTTACAGAAAAACTGATGCTTCTCTCGTTTTATTTTTTTTCCAGCTCTTTCATGGCTGATGGATGTTTTCCTGATTTTAGAGAATCTTCTCCAGGCTCAGTCCTTTTGTTGTCACTTAAGAAGTTTTTGGTGGGTTTTCATTTTTAAATGTTTTTAATCCATTTACGAGGGATTTTTGGATTTTTTTGAGAAGGTTTCTGAAGAGATAAGGTTTTAAGGATCGTTCAGATGTTTTAAGTTTTTTTTCAGTTCCAGTTGTGTTGGAAGATGTTACAGCTCTTTCAACTGGTTTTCCTGACAGTTGTAAGGGAGACTTGGGCAAAAACCAGTCCTAGGCGCTGTCCCGGAAAGTTGTAACCCAATCACATCACGTAAATCAAAGTGGGTGAGATTAATTCAATCATCAATGTTTTTCTAACTGCCAACTAAACAATTGCCTTCATTCAGAGCTCATTCAAAACAAACTTTAGATCAAACTTCAAACAGCGTCCAACAGAAATGTGATGGTCTGAAGTTTTTGTGTTGTCTTACAATAACACATTTAGAGTATTCACCTCATCTCATATTGAACTATGAACTATGTTTATGGCGCCACCTGCTAAAGCAGGCAGTAACAACGTCAGACTGACAGAAAAAAACACTATTTTTAAGCCTTGGATTTAAACCCTTATCTCTGTAATATAGACTTCAGTTAATTAGCGTTTGCTGTCACTGGTTCAATAATTGCAGTATTTTTTTTTTTAAAAAGTGAATTTAACAAAAATAGTAGAAAAAATGAATGAATACCAAAAAATCATTGATAAACGAAATGAAAACCAGGAGTCAGATGGATGTTTCCTGTTTACCACTGTGTGTTTGTTTAAAGCAGAAATAATTACGTTGTGTGTATGTCTGTGTGTACAATGACAGTAAAGGTGCGTGAGCAGCCTGGGGACTAGTAATAAGAGGATTGGCCTTGTTATCAGAGGATCGCAGGTTTGCATCCTAGCTCGACCGGCTGTGGTGTGTTGAACAAACACCAAATCCCTTTGTTCCCTGGGCGTTTCTGAAAGCGATCACTGCTCCCGGGGAACGGGTATTCAACAAACAACAACTTTTTTACACAGTGTGTGTGTGTGTGTGTGTGTGTGTGTGTGTGTGTGTTTAACCACAGATTTAACTATACTTGTAGGTTTGTCTTTATAAAATCCTTTTTATCTCTGGACTCTTTGCCAGGTCTTCTCTGAGTGAATAAATATGTAAACATTTTGAGGCTGAAGATTTAGTTTGAAGTTAGGATTAAATTTAGGGTCAAATTAAAGTAAAGGTTAGTCATATTTTGGTGAGTGGTGGTCGTATTACAGATCACCTTGTAGGATGATCTAGGGTCAAATCCAACTTGTTGGGTTTAATCTGGAAGGTAATCTGGTTTAAAAACTCCAAGCTAAATTAGTCGAAACCCTGAGAAGCAGTGAGTCTTCATAAGACTTGCGTTTATGAGCTCACAACACACAAAAACCAACATGTGTGTGTCGTCCTTCTCACGTCTCCCCATGACTCTGATCAGAGATTCTCTTTGTGCTGCAGGATCTCATAACGTCTGTGGAAACATCAGATGTTTCCTCCTGGAAACGACTGTGACTCTGAGGCTTCAGTCACACAGCTGGGATTCATTTGAAAATAACAGTTTTCACTTGAACACAATGAACACAAACATTTGAGCTCAGCTGATATCTTCACTGTCACTAACGGACAGTGAAGATATCACTGACTCATCATCATCATCGTCACTGCTTCACTATTCCCTTTCTCCTGCAGATGTTAAATTCCAATCATAACATTTTAACCCTTTCAACTGTCCTGTGTCTCCAGATCCCTCAGATCAGCTACGCCTCCACGGCGCCGGAGCTGAGTGATGACCGGCGCTACGACTTCTTCTCCCGTGTTGTCCCTCCTGACAGTTTCCAGGCTCAGGCCATGGTGGATGTTGTCAAAGCCATGGGCTGGAACTACGTCTCCACAGTGGCATCAGAGGGAAGCTATGGCGAGAAGGGAGTGGACGCTTTCATGCAGCTCTCCAGAGAAGCAGGTAGGAGCTGAAGCTGCAGTTCAGGGTTTGACCACAGGAAACCAGTGACTCATTATAGGCTTGGATTGTGACAAAGCTGGCATGGAGAAGTTTGAAAATCTCCCTTACTGCATGAAGTTTTTTATTTGTATTTTTTTGTAGTTGCCAAATAATCTATAATGCATCACTGCCACCTACTGGCCTGGAGTGTGTGCATCCGTGTTGCAGGTGTTACAGACATTTCTACAGACATTTTACAGGGCTTAAACCAGAGTTTTTATCAATTGATCTTTATATGAGAGTGTGATCAAAGTGTATAAAGTATGGTGTGGCTTATTCTCACAGTTGATCCTAGTGTAAATACTGTGAGTGGATCCAGACTCCAGCCCTTCTTTAACCTGCTGACTCTGACCACACTTGCTGCATTATGAAAACAACGGACGTGTGCCCCCTATTGGTTCCTTTTTCAAGAGATCAAGTGTCCTCTGGGTAATTGTGAAGCTGAATGTGACGAACGATGTCATGAATAATTCTGACATTTATCCCAATGTCGGCACAGATCGTGTAAAAGGGAAAAAAAACTTTAATTTAAAAGCAAACAGCAGCCGCAGGTGTTTTTTTTTTTCCTTTTCACGCTCTCTCTCAGCTGTAGCAGCAGCAGCAGCAGCAGTGACAGCAGCAGTAGCAGTGGCAGCAGCAGCAGCAGTGATGGTAGATACTACAGTACATAGTTACAGCGTCAGCACTCTGAAGCAACCAAAAGCAAATATCTGGCAGCGTTTTCTTCATCTCCTCCTCTCAGTCCTGCTGATGCAGAGATAATAAAGGCAGCAGGATCCTGAGGCTTCTTCATAAAGAAGAAGAAGCTGCAGAATTAAAAAAAAAAGAAGAAGAAGAAACTCTCAGCACACACTCATACAGGCCTTACAGTCCAAACCCTCAGTTTTAATTTGGTCCAAACATTTTTGATACAAAACTGCAGCTTACCCCACTGTGTGCGCCCCCTGCTGCTAGAACAATCGCACTTAGATTTTTTTCAACAATGTACAAACAGTCCACCCCGCTGTTAGACCCACCATTACTGAGTTGAAATTTGTTCTTTTTGTTCCCTCAGTGACACAAACCAACCACAAGAGGCAGCAGTGATCCAGCAGATCACTGTAAATCTTCTGTGTAATAACCATACAGCGGTTAATAGACGACTATAGTATTTTTAGTGTTAAAGAACAACTAAATGCTCCCTGCTGCTATAACAAACTCACCTGGAATTGTCAACATTTCATTAACATAGAGAGAGAGAGAGAGAGAGAGAGAGAGAGACCTAATCCTAATTTTAAAGACTTCATAACAACAAGCTAACTCTACTACACCAAAGTCTACAGAGGAAGTCAGTGGTTTAACCTCACAGCTACTGCAGTAAGTTTTGACCATCTCGACTGTTGATCAGGCTGTCTAACAGTTGTGATCATGTTTATACGGGTTTGTAGACAAAAGCTAACAGATTTTTTTTTTTAAAGCAGAGGTGTTTAAGTTTAAAACCAAACAGACTTTTAGGTTTGTTTTGAGCAGATGTTTTCACTTAAACCCACCGTCACCTCATCCATCATTAATCTGCAGAGGATTTAGCGACACCAGCTAATATATTGTCTCGTTAGCCTGTAAGGTTACAACAGGGTCTTGAATACACGCCATCAGTGGCTCATTAGACGTCCTTCCTCTGACCCTGGTACAGTTTGATTGACAGTTCATAATGTTTGTTCGACTAAATGTTTGTCTCTGTTTCAGCTGGTTTACCTCTCAATTCTATTGTTGTGGTGTGATGTAATGTTTACACTGGTTTCATACTGGTTCAAACTGGTTTTTCCTTGACATTATTTACACTTCCACTACTATTCACTACTACATCTGCGAGTGAGAGAAAAACATAATCAGCCGACCTAGTTTTTTTGCCCTGAGACAACAGTTGGAGATAAAAACAAATAACAGAAACTTCCATTTGTCTTTTAGATAAACTGAGTCAGCGAGCTGCAGCCCAGATAAACTAATCTAATCCTGAAAGGTCCGAGATAAGAGCAACAAACATTTTCATTTTCCTGTGAAACTGATGGAGGCCTGAGTTAGTTTGAAGCCCATCTCAGAGGAACAGATGATAAATCTGATATTCATGCATCAGAAGAAAGAGCTCTGAGTTTTTCCTAATGTGTGACGTGTCAGAAGAACTTAGAACTGCAGCAGAACTGGAGTCAGTGGAATACAGAGTGTGGACTCATTCATCAGCTGGGCCACAGTCATAACTGTACACATCATTCCATCCATCACACCGACACACTCTGTAAACACTTATAAGTCTGTATATACACACACGCGGGCACACACACACACACGCAGAGGAGTCACATCAATTTGAAGGACCCGAAGATGTTTGACTTTGGACTAGGTGTGTTCCATACCACTTTTCTTTCCTGATATGGACACCACTACTACTTGTTATATTTATGTCGATACATAGAAAATTTCAATGAACACAATGCCAGATAATATTGAACAACAACCTTTTATTTCTGAAAAAAGGGCGACACAGTCATCCTTAAAGAGAGAGTTGTATTATTAACATAAAGGAACTAAAGTGGAAAATAATACACAAACAACTCTCTGAGTTTGTATTTGTTTGAAATAAATACAATTTTTATTTCAATTCAAAATAAATCAGGCTTGACTGTTAACTCTGAGTTTTATTTATGCTGTGTTCACTTAACTAATCCTCCTCCAGACGGGGGCTTCGATTCCGTATTAACTAAATCAGGCGTGAAATCATAAAACTACTATCAGTTTAGCTCCACGCGCGTGTGTGTGTGTGAACATAAACTGTCCTATTTTTAATGCGCATTACTTTCACAAATCCCACATATTCTTAAGCATGCCTTTTTACAAATGACTGATAAGTCAGAAAACAAAAACAGCGTGGAGCTTGAATTGGAGGAGACTGTGCGCAACAAGCATATTGTAATGTCCCTCCAACAGACCTTTTTCTTTTCTAGAACTTTTATTACAAACAGTCAATAACAGTGCTCATGCTGAACTTCTCATTAACTTTTCCCCAATCGCTCCTTTTGCTCTCTCGCACCGCTTTCCCTCTCCCTTTTTTGCTCTTCTCTCTCTCTCTCTCTCCCTCTCTCTCCTCCTCCTACCATACCTGTGAACAATGAATCCCTGCACGACAACATAAATACATCATGACTATTACACTGGCGCTCCATGCTGTAATTGCTGCAAAGGATGAAAAGTCCCAGATATGTCATTAATTCTTGTTGTGCTGTTCACATGACAACTTGTTTGTTTCAGTTCAAAAATCAATCTAGTGGTCCATTGTTCGACCATACAGACCATAGAAGTGGGATTAGTCACAGCGTGAGTACCAGATATGAGCCACTGATGGGATCAGTATATTTATTTGTGTGTGATGTTGTTGATCAAACAAAAATCCCAGAAAAATGCTGCTCTTGATTTCCTTCTGTTTCAGCTTCTCCGTTCAGATTTCCATCTCTCAGGTCAATAATGGACTCAGTTCTGTTATTAAATGAGTGTTAGTGGAAGGATTAGAGCCAGGATCTGCTGCTGAGCGTCTCCGCTGTCATTATCTTCAGATTAGAAACAGACTGAAGTGATTACCAGTTCATCAGAGGGTTTTTAGAGAGGTGCTGATCTGGTGTCTTTGTTTCTGTCTTATCTACTCCAGATAACGTTTCAATAACACAGACATTACAAGTTCCAAATTCTGAATTAAAAAAAAATATCACGGAATGTCAGGACTGACGGTGGATTAACAAATGCTGGCTTTAGCCAAATCATGCTAACTGTTAGCAAATTTGAGCAACACAAACATTTTAACCACAACAGATATTACAAACTACTAAGTGTTAACTGTTAACATTTGTTTCCATTCAACTAATGCCAACCTAGGACTTTATAAAGAGTCTGTCAACTGTTAGCATCACGGCTCTGCCTTTGTTAACTAACTTACGGCAGAGCAAATGTTAAGCAACGGTAAAAGAAGAGTTAGTGCTTCTGCCCTATGGCATGAAGATCACAGGTTCAAACCCCAGTTTCTACTGGTGATCTGTCTATGTGTGTGTACAGGATCAGGTTGAATTGAATATAGGTGTGAATGTGTGTGTACGTTCAGTTATTAGAATGCACACTCTAATGCCACGTGCAGCATCTTCAAATGTGATGCAAAGAATAGCAACTAAAATAGCACATCAATTATTTGTTATCCACACATCAATTAATTAACGGCAGCAGTTGTATCGCACATTTACGCCTTTGTCGTTATGTTACACATAATGACACCCATTACCCCTCACTTGGGCCACTGTCTGTCTGTATGTACAGTATGTAGTCAGACACAAACAGCAACAAAATAAAAGTAATTTTCTGTCATAATGAGTATTCTAGTAATTACAATAGACAAATAATTACTTATTGCAAACATTTGTGAGCATATAAAATAGAACTGCTAACATGTTAGCTGCATGTTACCATATATATCCTACTAAGTGCTAAGCTGTTAAATGTTAATTCGCTGATATTGTTAAACTAATTTCTAGATACAGCACTGATGACATTGTGTGTCTCTTGTGCAGGTGCACATTCTTCTCAGAGCATGCTGGGAAACCTAGGCTAAAGCGCAGATAATAAATGGGAGCAGAAACCCCAGAGTCAGTGCTGTGTTTAAATATTTAATGACAGATAAAGTTAAATTTTCATTGGCTGAAATTACAGCAGCACTTTTTCCTGCAGATTCTGTTCTGTTCTGGCAGCTCGGTTCTGCTGAGCACGGGCGTCTCTGAGGATCGTTAACAGCCTTGTTCATCTTTACTGACGCTGCTGCTGCTGCTCTGTTAGAGAATATAAAAACGACCACCAGGTCACATGACACAAATGTCCAGCTGGTTAATGTCTCTGCAAACTCGTCCCCAGATCTGATCACCGCAGCGTCCAGCTGCTGACAACAGATGTTTCCAAAAACCACACTGAGTTGTCTCAGCCACGTCGGAACTAATGACTCTCTGGTGTTAAAGGTACAGTTCAGGTTGTTAAAGGTAGTGAGGCATGAGTGTCAGGAACACTTTCTGAATGATAGAGGGCACTAGACACAACATTCTGACCCAGTGTTGGTGATCAAATTGGACTTTGTTTTTATGACTTGGCCATATGTTCATGTTTACTGTACACTTTTCACCGTCTACTACATTGACAGATTACTGCAAACTCACTGTACAATAACAGCTGCTGTATTCAACATTTGAAGACCTATTTGACCCTGTCATCTGGTCTATTGAGGCCTGAATACACCTTTGTCTTGTCCCAGGACGGTTGGAGCTAACGTTAGCTCTGGTGGCTACGTTTGCAGAAAACACCTGCTTCTTATTGAAGTTAAGGACAGTCTAAACCTGCAGGTGAATGTACACAATTTAAACAAAACTATATGAGATTGTGTTCTTTTTATTGATAAAAAGTGTACCTAAGTCATACACAATGACCACTGTAAAAACAAAATGGAGCTACATAAGATTTTGGTTCATAAAAAAAAAAAAAAAGACCATCGACATTAGCATTATTCTAACTGCACAAACTAATAAAACAGAGCACCATAATACTAATAAATAATAATACAATAATTGCTAATAAGTACAATAAATGCATACTCCATATTAATCAATTTACTAAACGTTAAATGTTAAACACCATAATTTATACTTACACCAACAAAACAGCCCTTGGCTGCTTTCTCAGTTGGTAAGGTTATGGTTAACAGCTAACTAAACAGTCCAGTAGCTTGACAACACTCAAGCCCCAAGCTATCAACACCAAATGTAATGGTATATAAATTTAATGATAACGAAAGGGAGCTTTTGTCATTTATTTTATATTATTTTGTTATTCTTTAGTTCCTTCAGCTGTTTGTTTTTAATCAAAGTCAAACTTTCTGATCACTCCAGAACTCATTTTTCCTAGGAGTATATATATATAAAAAAATCCCCTCACTGCCTTCTTTGTATCTCATGATAAAAACCAATGAGTCATGAAGACGTTAGACATTTCCCACTGTTACTTTTCCTCAGCGGTTGACAGCCGTGAAGGCCCGGCTGAGGATTTGTTTTCCTCCTTTCCTCTCTGACTCTGACCTTCCCTGGTTCGTCTTCCATTAAACAGCTGACGGCTGCCGCTGTTCTCGTTACACTCTCGTAACGAGACACAAATCACGGCATCGTCTGCGGCCTCGCGCTAACGACTCCTTGCTCTGAGCCAACAGTCAGATTTATCTGTTTTACTACGACCAAATATTGATCCAGGTGATCATTCTCTGCTTCCACTCTGAGTGTGTGTGTGAGAGACGGTGTGTTTGTCTCTGAGCGTGTGTGTGTATGTGTGTGTGCTGACTTATGGCCTCATTCCTCTCCAGCCTCTGAAAGCTTAATTTATGGGCTGCAAGCGTCAGAACTCACAAGGTCGCGTCATGGTGCGTCATTTTTTCAAGGCTGAGAGCAGGAAGTGAACACGTCAGGAAGTTCATCATTCTCCCACTGTGCTCGGCTACACTTTAATGCCATGTAAAGGGACGGTATGTGATTTCTGTAAGGTCAAAGGGAAAACAGCTCCTCCTGGCTTCAGCCTGGAGTTGAAGAAGAAACTTCTAAACATATTTACCTCAGTTCGGCTTGATGGCTGTCTGAACATATATTGGTTCAATATCAGACTTTTATACAAAAAAAAACACTCCATACACACCATAGTCGATGACAAAATTGTAACTGTTCCCATTGTGGGATGAACAAAGGACTACTTAAAAATCTAATCTGATCTTATCTAATTCAATATAATATTATATAATATAACTCATTAGAGCAAACCTAATCCTCCTTCACACTTGAATGTGTGTGTGTGTTTCCTGATAATTTTCTCATTGTTTTCTATTGATTTCCAATTTATTTCTTTACATAAAAAAACCTATTTCCTTGTTGCTTATTGATATTATGTGATTAAAACATGTTTTTCATTTTCTCGGTTATTTAACACTTGCTGGTCTTTGCCCCCTTCCTGTCTCCTCAGGTGGGATCTGCATCGCTCAGTCTGTGAAGGTTCCTCACGACAACAGTCCCGCTGTCTTTGATAAGATCATCCGTCTGCTGCTGGACAACCAGCAAGCTCGTGCTGTCATCCTGTTCACATCCGATGAGGACATCAGGTGAGCAGGCATGGTGGTCATGTTAGTGTCACCTGGTCTGTGCTTCCATTTCTGATCAGTTTTTGAAAATCCTCAGGTCAATCCTCAGTTCCTTCCTAATCCTTTCCTGGTTGTTTAAAAATCACAGTTTTCCCGAACGTGTCATTTCTTGGCTCTGACTGTTGAATGAAAAAAACCTTCCTGTCTCATTTCCCCTTTGTTCTGCAGAAAAGAAAAAGACAAAAGTGAATTTTTCATGTCGGCGTTTGACGCCAGCTTCGTCTGCTGTCACATTACAACATGTTTGTTCTCTGTCTGCCACAATGAAAGCTGTCGACACATTTCTGCTGCAAAGTCAGAAAGATTAGAGAAAAAGAAGTTCATATTTAAAACCAATAAGAATGAAATCAATACCAGACTGAACCAAAGCAGGAAAGGATTAAGTTAGTATTATATCACAGTCAAACAAACCATCAGTCAAACTGAAACAGGAAAGAAAAAAAAAAACCTGGTTCTGAAAAATACAACAAGATTTATTTGAAATTTCTGTCTGTCTGCCTGATGATTGGCAGAGTTTTGGTTGGACTGTCTGCCTGATGATTGGCAGAGTTTTGATTGGACTTTTGCACTGGGTTATTTAACCCATTTTTATAACAATACTATTCAATTTCATATGATCAATATATTTGTTTATATCTGTTTTTGATGTTTAGATGGGGGCTAATTTAGTTAATTCATTGTATATTTCTGTGGAGCTTTTGGAGACTTTTCTTTGCCCGTACTTTGGTAACTTTTATGGGTGTGTGTGTGTGTGTGTGTCCGTGTGAGCATAGGGGGATCCTGAATGCCACCAAGCGTGCAGACCAGGTGGGTCACTTCCTGTGGATCGGTTCTGACAGTTGGGGCGCCAAAAACAGCCCCATCCAGCAGCTGGAGGACGCAGCTGTGGGAGCCATTACTATTCTGCCTAAGAGAGCCACCATCAGTGGTGAGTCAACAGAACACAAGAAGGAGCTAAAAAGTCATTAGTCAATACAGATGAAAGTCATAGCAGGTAAACGAACAGACACAAGTGAATGTATATCAAACTAATAAAAAGTAAGTTCATAACAATTGCCAAAATAAATCTAAAATAAATGAAAGCGGTAAAAATGAAAGAAATGTCTAGTTAGCAAAATGATGAAATAAAAACAAGTAACATTATTTAAAATAAAAATAAAAAATTTAGTTAAATAGAATTAGTCAGTCAAACCTTAGCTCACCGATGATTGGGAGCAGTCAACAAGTTATTTATTTGAGCTAAAAGTTAGCCAAATGTTTTGATGGATGTAATTAAAGAAATTGTATATTAAATATTAATATACAAATATATAGACTGTTTTGTGTCTGTGTTGTCAGTCAAAATGAGATAAACTTTGTATAAAATGTATTTATAAAATGTATGTATTTTAACGTTTTTATAAATACTAAGGTGAGAAATGGCTAATGGTTAGTCACACCGACTGTGTGTGTGTGTGTGTATGTGCACGTGTGTGTGTGTGATTGAATTCTCTCCTTGTGGGAGATTATAACCATATTTGAGCAAGTGTAGGTCATGTCCCCAGTATCACTAAACCAGAAGATGGAGAGCACCTCTTTCCTCTTACTCTCAAGATAAACGACTTCATTTCCTGTTCTGACTGATGCGAGGAGACGCAGCTGTCAGTGAACATCATAGAGGTCTCATTTTCCCAGTGACTCGATCAAAACGGCGCTGTTAAAGAATCTGTTTTTGTCAATCGTTCTTCTAAATCCTCCACTACCTTTGGACATTTAAGACCTCTACGACATTTTGATATTTCAAAACTTTTCTGTAAACTTCTCTGAACGTTAAACGTATTTATTTATTTTCATTTCATTTCATTTTATTACATTAAACATGTTTCTTTCTCATGGTTTCTTCCCTAAAACCTCCTCCACACTACTAGTCTTTACTTCCTTCTTGTATCAGTATTTTTTATTTTGGAGTATTTCTTTTGTCACTTTTCTATAACACAGCCAACAGGGATGCCGTTTCTGCTTTTCTGTATTTTTCTACTCTGACTTGTTTTTTTTATCACAATATTTTACTCCTACTTACAAAACTTTGCATCTACGTTTCTTCCACCACTGTGACTGTCCCCAAATACTGATGTCCTCATTTCCACAAGACTTCTGCAAACTTTTCTGATTTTTCTCTTTTAATTCTTTGGCAACACTGACATTTTCTCTGGTTTTATGAATTATGTTTTTTGTAATTATGTTTGTTATATTCTTCTTCATAACAATCAAAATAAGCATAAACTATTGCAATATTCTATTGACTTAAATCAAATCAGATGACATATGTGTGCTTCAGACTTTTCACTGATAGTTGTTGTTGATGTTCCCTGCGCCTGCTGTCTCCAGGCTTCGATGCCTACTTCACCTCACGGACTCTAGAGAACAACCGGAGGAATGTGTGGTTTGCCGAGTACTGGGAAGAAAACTTCAACTGTAAACTAATGAGCTCGTCCAAGAAAGACGACAGCAGCAGGAAGTGCACCGGTCGGTTTGTCTCTCTATATAACTGTCTGCCTGTTTGTCTTTCTGCCTGTCTATCTGTCTCTCTGTCTTTCTCTTCGTCTTCCTCTCTGTCTTCCTCTCTGTCTGTTAAATCCTCTTCAGTTTGAGTCATTGTCGTTCTTTGTAATAGTCTTAAATATCTGCTCGTGTCTACACATGGACATGTCCACGGTTTTGGTCTTGTTCTGACTTCCTGGTCTCTGTGTCTCAGGTCAGGAGCGCATCGGCATTGACTCTAAGTACGAGCAGGAAGGAAAGGTCCAGTTTGTGATTGATGCCGTCTACGCCATGGCCCACGCTCTGCATAACATGCAGAAAGACTTGTGCCCTGAGAATTCTGGGATCTGTCCTGAGATGGAACAAGCCGGAGGGAAGAAACTCCTCAAGTATGTCCGGAGTGTCAGCTTCAACGGTGAGTCTTTAAAGGTCCACAACACAGTGCTAACACAAGTCAGCTAATGCTAATTAATTAACGTTTGCAACAGATGACAACAAAGAAAATAATTTCTTGCTTTAACATATTGTTTATTAACAGCATTTAACTCACCTAAAAATGAACCATCACCTCAGCTTCAAGCAAATAAGCAAAGATTTCACCATATTTGATTTGATTGGTTGGTTGGTTTGGTTGGTTGACTGACTGACTGGTTGACTGTTTGGTTGCTTCATTTCCACAGGAAGTGCTGGCACAGCAGTGACGTTTAACCGTAATGGAGATGCTCCTGGGCGCTACGACCTTTTCCAGTACCAGTTGAACAACGTGACCGGTCCAGGCTACCATGTGATTGGACAGTGGACGGAGACACTGCAAATCAATGTGAGTTCAACCCACTTCTCTGACTAAAGGGGGACAAATTAGAAATAAAAAAAAACAGTATAGTAAAAAACGTTATCCAAATATGATGGGTTACTCTGTGGACCTGTCATCTATGTCTCCCTGGGTCGGCCCACAAGACTAACAGCTAGCTAGTTGTTATCAATGTAGATTAGTTCATACAGGAAGTGTGTCGGTTGTGGAGCGAACTCCTGTCTGAGATGAGTCAGGTATTTTAGCTGAACCATAAATATACCACAGCTGAGTTCATGCCAAAGTCTTTGGATTGTTAGTCCCAGACAGTAGGAGTACCACTCCAGGCGTACTGATAAGACTGAACAGTGACGTCACACTCTGCTGATAGGGAAAAACACACCTCAGCTCTGAGTCATCTTCAAACCTCTGACCCACTGACATTAGCACAAATAATCCTCCAATAGATTCCATTGAACCACACTCAGTCCTGAATGTTAATGCACTGCTCAGGAGGAAATTTATTGAAATAAAATAATAACCTGGAAAACAAAGACAAATATGTGTTAGTTAATCTTACATTATTAAAATTAGGTAACGTTGTAGGGACATGAGGTATCAGACTCTTATAAGGTATGCCATTTTGTTTAGAAACTATAATGGGGTTTTTTTTGTGTGTTTGCTATTATCTTGGATCTCTTTCATGCCTCAGAGGTGGCGCTAAGTGCACAATTAAAAGCTCAGTTTCTAAATTAAAATATATTTATATTTGTAAGCATTCGTTTATTTTTAACAAATATTTGTGACTGGCTACTGATTAACCAAATAATGAAGACCATTAAAAGCATATAGCATGTAGCATTAGATGCTAACATCTTGAATCTTAACAAATTAGCAGCATGCTCCTGGTGCTGTAGCATGCAGGCATGTTCAAGTCAGTTTTTAAGCAGTGCTATGCTAGCTGACGATGCTAAGACCCCAGCAAAACTGTTGAGTAGTTGTGTCCTGTAACGCAGAGAGATGGGCCTCATTCAAGTGAAGGTACATTCCCCCTGTCACTATCTGGAGACATTACAGTAACAGTTGAGGAACTGCAGTACTGGATAAAAATGAATTCAAATCAATCATTTCTCCAACAACTTTGTACCAACGTTTGATGGGCCTTAAGGTCCGTTGTTTGTCTATGCCTCCACTGGACAAGTGTGGAGTATCAAACCCACATCTTTTGGTAGACAGACTCACTGACCCACAGCTCACAGCTGTCAGGTTCTTCTGGGGTCTTCTTGTAGATGTGGTGAGGGGTTTCTGGATGGCCAGGTTGTTATTCAGATCTTTTCAGACACCCCCAGGTCAGTGCGGGTTAGTCAGTCTGAAACTTTTTCTCTGTAGATGAAAGCACAAGAAAGAAACAAATAAAAGCTCAAGCTAAAGAATAGATTTTTCTTTTGGATTGAACGGAATAAAGGCAGGGATTTATCCTGCTTCTCACCCCTCCTTTCTCTCTCTTTCTGCCTGCCTCTCTCGACCTGCTCTTATCATTCGCTGACAGACCTCTGCTCTGCTGTCAGACGACACCGTCAATAAAAGCGTTGGGCAGCTGTGATGTCAGTGTGTAGGCGCTGGTTTCAGGTGAAGGTGTGAAAGGATGAATACGCTCAGGTCCAAATGTGTCCTGTCTGTGCAGATACAGCAGGATGTTCAGCTTTTTCAGGCCTTTTGTTTGTGTCACAGACTTTTGCTGAGCCTCTGCAGCTGTACGACCTTTTTCTTTCTTTTCTTTTCTTTTTTTTTTTGTTAGAAGCTCAATAATCCCTCAGCAGCGAGGGGAGACGTTCTGTTCCCAAATAACTTTAATCAGACTGTGGGTTTCTGTTTGATGGTGGTGGGTGCTGTTAATCTGTGAGCTTGTTAGCTTCTCCCTCCTACTTTCTTATTTCTCTACGCTTTACCCAACTGTCAGTGCTTCTTCAACCCCCGCCCCCACGACATAAAGCAATAGAAAAAAAAATCAGGCATATGTGTAGGATCACCACACTGCTGGAGTCAAGCTGTGAGGAGAAGCCCAGGGGAAAAGAGAAGCATGTCAGGACAATGATTCCATTCTTGTTTCTTTTTGATCCAGTGTCCCCGACTACTGGACACTGGATCAGTACTGGGGAAAAAAAGAATCTGACTTTATTGTTTATGATTTATTTACCAGCAGACCACATGCCGTTAATTGCATTACTGCCACCTACTGAATCTATTTTATTTTACATGTTCTGTCCACTGTCATCTGAAAGAAAAATGAGTACTCTAGATACATTTGAAAACATGGTAAAGATTTTTATAAATTGCCAGAAGTTCCCTGTGTATTAAAACCTGAAGACCTTTGTTATTAAATCATTTGTCAATGGCAATGCATCGAAGTAAATTTTTACTGCTCTGCCCTAAGGAGGAGCCCAGCACAACAGAACCAAACAGTTCTAGATACAGCAGTGCTCATGTGGCAAATTTGTTCCAGTTGTCAAAGGTTGTCTGTGGTTGTCTGTGTGGTTGTCTCAGTTGTCAGAGGTCATCATCCAGATCTTATCATGAAATTTCTCGGCCTTTAAATTAATGTGGAGGTGTTGTCAGGTCACATCGCCATCTGTGTGAAGTTATAACAATTGTCAGGTTGCCGTGAGGTGGAACTTTAGAACTGTGTTGTTGTCAGGTCATCTCAGCAGAGGAAACATATGGTCGGAGTAGATGTCCTGATCAGATCACTGTTGGACCAGTGGAAGAGAAGAAGACAGTATGACTGACACGACAGTCAAATGGATTGTTCCGGACTGTAGACTGATGAATATTGTTGAGGACACGACTGGACTGAAAGAAACTCTCCATCCGTTCTACAAACACTGTCGAGACGAACAGTAATGACTGAAGTACACGAGACTGTTGGTCGTTTTTCCAGATTATTAATTCCATCATTTGGATTAGTCACAGATAAAACCAGGTGTGAAACACTGACCCCTACCTGCTGTTGTTGGTCTGTCTGTTCCACCAAAATACAGAAAACGTGTTTTGTTTTTTAGGTTGGAACAGACAAAGAGCATTAGCTGTGATTTAAAGCTGGGAGCAGTAATTCCTCACTACACATCACTGTCTTTGGATCCACAGTGTTGTTGTTCCTCTGGGTCTATGCTGCGATCACCTGTGTGACATGTTGTGACTCCACTTCATTCAGTGACATAAAATGAAAACACTCCTTTCTGCTCTAATCGACCGCCATTTGTTTTTCTCACCTTTGAATGAATTTGATTAGAAACATTTTTAAAAGCTTTAGTTTAGAACAGTAACATCAGCAGAGTAAGAGGGAACAAAACATTTTTGTACCACTGTAAAACTACTATACTATTTTAGTTACATTTTAAACAGTCAGTGTCAGTGTACAGTGAGCTCACCATAATTTAGCTAACAAATTATTTTTTAACCCTAAATGTTAAGATTTTTCTGCATCATATTGCTCACTCTCGGTCATCGGCAGGGAATTATCTTTTTGCAGTTTTTCAGCTAACTGTAGGCCACCTTTGCTATGTTTTAGTTAATCTTAAACTAATTGGTTTCTTGAATGTTAACTACATTGAAGTGTTGTAGCTAATGTTAGCTCTGGTGTCTGTACCAGGACTGTTGTAGCTGACGTTAGCTCTGGTGTCTGTACCAGGACTGTTGTAGCTAAAGCTAGTTCTGGTGTCTGTACCAGGACTGTTGTAGCTGACGTTAGCTCTGGTGTCAGTGGTACAGCAACATGTTTTATGTTGATGGAGTAGAGAAGACCTGATGTACTGCAGTGATCAGACAATCCTTAAAAACTAAAACCAGGATCTATTACAGTAAGTGATGTGCTGTAACCACCTGCCACATTCTCTGCATCTTCTTTTCTGCATGTAAAAAAAACTTTAGGAGCATCACCCCCACCTATGGGCTGGAGTGTATGAATCAGTTACTGATCTCAACATCACAGGCCTACTTTTAACTACGCTTCATTTAAATGCATGTGTGATTCCGACTTTTGTACAAGGAAACTCTTCTTTCAAAGAGTTCAAAATCATTTGCTCTGTTCATGAGTCCTACTGCTCCAGGACCTGCAGCAGCATCAGCATCAGGACCATCAGCTTCCACATCATCTTCTCCATCTGAGTCAGAGCAGAGCCGAGAGCGACGTCTGTGTCACAGATGAAGGTCAGATTTCATTAGCACTAATGAGGCCGCTCTGCTGGCTGCCGACGTCTCTCTGTGAGTCACATGAAAGACGAGCGGCAGACGTTCCTCTGCCGTCGCAGTCAGATAAGAGCCGCCGTCGGGTCACTTTCACCTTCTAACTGTCAAACACGAGGGATGTAGACGACGATGCTGCTGCTGCTGTCCCTGCTGCTGCTGCTGCTGTCGCTGCTGCTGCTGTCGATGATGAGGATGATCGTGATGCTGAAGAGTTTTTGATGTTTCTGAAGTGGAAAAAACACAGCCAGGCTCGTCAGACACAGTGACCCTTAAAAAGACAAAGATAGTATTTATCTAAAGGTCTTCACTCTCAAACTCTGAGGGTGTGTCTTTAAAGGTCTAGTGCAGAGTTTTTCAACAGTAGACAGCTGCTTTCATGTAGTTTGACGTGTTACTCTCACTGGTAAATTATCATATTTCTGTGCCTGTGATCAATATTTCAGGCTTTAACCCTTCACTTCCTGGATCACTTTAAAACTTTTTTTCTCTTTTTGTCAAATGTTAAGCTCTTTTTCAAGTTGACAATTAGCAATTTAATTACTAGTTTTTGGTAGGTTTTGAGCTAGTTTCCTATAATTTTTGCATATGTTTGGCTAACATTTACTTACCTATGGACTATAGTTGTTATTTGCGCAGTTTATTAAGCTAGTATGCAAATTTTTTTTTATGAATATTGTTCCCTTTCTGGACTTGACATTTGTTCACTTTATTTAGTGTTACATCATTGTTGCTGTTGTTTTAATTAAAATTCGGCTACTGTTCTGTTCTTTCTTTGAGCTCTCCAATCATCAAAGGCTTATGCCTAATTGCTACTTTTCTCAGACTAATGCTCTGCTTCTCCTACATGTAGCGTGTGAAGTGAAATAAAATCCAACGGCACAGTGATGTTTTACTTCCACTACCCTCCAGGAACAAAGGCTTAGATAACTACATTTTTCTAAAGGATGTGACATGTTACCATGGTTACAGCATCATACAGCAACATCTACAACATATTTGTAGATGTGTATCGTTGCATCTTTGGTCTAGTTGTTCCTTGTCAGTGCAGCAGAAGCAGCTCAGTTCTTTTTAGCCTCTTTGTAGTGTTGTCAGGTGAGCTGACTGGCCTACGTAGGGTTGATGTTTTCTCTTGTGACTCATGTTGACTGACTGCTGTCCTGTGTCCCACAGATGGAGGACCTGCAGTGGCCCAGTGGAGAGCGGGAGATTCCCAGCTCTGTCTGCAGCCTTCCATGTCGGAGCGGAGAGAGGAAGAAGGTGGTGAAGGGCATCCCGTGCTGCTGGCACTGCGAATCCTGTGATGGCTACCAGTATCAGCTCAACGAGTTCACCTGTAAACTCTGCTCTTACAACATGCGACCTGATGCCAACCGCACAGGCTGCCAGCCTATTCCCATCACCAACCTAGAGTGGAGCTCGCCCTGGGCTGTCATACCTGTTTTCCTGGCCATGCTTGGCATCATTGCCACCATATTCGTCATGGCTACCTTCATTCGGTACAATGACACACCCATTGTTCGTGCATCGGGTCGGGAGCTGAGTTACGTCCTGTTGACAGGAATTTTCCTGTGCTACATCATCACCTTCCTCATGATCGCCAAACCAGACGTAGGTGTGTGCTCCTTCAGGAGGATCTTCCTGGGTCTGGGCATGTGCATCAGCTACGCTGCGCTCCTCACCAAAACCAACCGTATTTATCGCATATTTGAGGAGGGGAAAAAGTCGGTGACGCCACCTAAGCTGATCAGTCCCACCTCACAGCTGGCCATCGCTTCCAGCCTCATCTCACTGCAGCTGCTGGGTGTCTTCATCTGGTTTGGGGTGGATCCTCCCAACACTATTATCGACTATGACGAGCAGAAGACCGTAGACCCCATCCAGGCCCGTGGCGTCCTAAAGTGTGACATCACAGACCTGCAGATCATCTGCTCACTTGGTTACAGCATCCTGCTGATGGTGACATGTACTGTCTATGCCATAAAGACTCGCGGCGTCCCTGAGAACTTTAACGAAGCCAAGCCCATCGGCTTCACCATGTACACCACCTGCATCGTATGGTTGGCATTCATACCTATCTTCTTTGGTACAGCCCAGTCTGCAGAAAAGGTGAGAAAAAAAAGAATGAAAGCACATAGAGATGAAAAGAATGTAAATAGTACTTCTTCAATCTGAGGAGGAACCTGGAAAATACTTGTTTCTTGACAAACCATTTCGTTATTTGAAGAGACAGTTCAGACAGTCTTCTGAAGAACCTCATGTTTTGTTAATGATTTAGGCTTCATCTAAATTCTAGAAGAAATTCTAAGAGGATTTACATGTAGGTTCTTAGTCATTCTGAGCATTTCACTTTAGAACTGTAGAACTACACCAGTGCATTCTCTTGGTTTCTTGAATATTTGTCAGTTCTCACCTTAGAACCTCCTAATCTTCTGTTTGACTGCTCAAATACCCTGATACTTCTCCTTTACTGGGCTGTACTCTTGAATGGAGAGTTGCTATGGTAACGTGAGGTATCATCACTCTGATCCACTGACAGGATGTCGTATTCCCACACTGTGTGTATTCACACACTGTCAAGGTGTGAAGAGGGGGGTGGGGGGTTGTTGGTGTCACCTGAGGGGCACAGTTGACTGTGTAGTTCTGTGAAGAGACTTGAATTTTCTGGGTAGAGAACTTAGAACCACATGTCACGCACATTCCTTTATTTCGAGGGGGAAATGTAATGGCAGAGCACTAATGGTTAGCCAAACTGGGTCTCACATAAAACCTCTTTGTAAGTTGACTACTCTCCTGGGATTTTTATCAAGCTAATTACTTTCCTATACTGTAGCTAATTTAATCAAACCAGCTAAAATTTAGCTGGGAACCATGTTGTGATTCATGCTTTTATACTGCTTTAAAGATAAACAGCTAACAGTAAGAATATCTTTTTTATTTAGCTATCTCTTACTGTATAAAAGCTGCATAAATGTGAGTTTGGTCCTGATAATATTTAAGATTCAGGACAGAACGTCCTTCTCACATCCTGCTCACTCTCAGATCCTTAAAAGTCCACATCACACGTGCATGTTGGTGAGGTCCTCTAAGGGCTCAGTTTCGATCGGCGAGGTCTAGATTTTATGCTGCACTCACGTCTGCGGTGTTGCAGTCTGTGCCGAACAAGCACCAACATAATAATGTCACGCTTAACAAACACACCAGTCCATCAGTAAAGTTCTACCCAGTGACACGTCTAGTCTTTAAAATGACTCTGTCCCTGAGATCGATGTCCAGACGACAGCATCAACTGTCCTCAGGTCAGTGAACACAGCTCAGAGAAAATCATGTTCAGTGAAAAGTGACGGATTTAACCTTTAAAGTGCATTTCAGCATATTTTTCAAGTAAGAGTGAGAAAACACTCTCTGGGCTTCTGTCTGGAACGGACCTAACATCCTGCAGGGCTGTGGACGTTATCCGCCCTGCTGGAGGACATAGAAACCATGTTTGGCAAATATGGTGAACAGACATTTACTGGATCAAATCTGTGACCCAGAGTGTAGGTATTTGTAATGTAGGCAGGAAGGCTGGAGCCAATCACAGCAGGTGGTTGAATTATTTTAATTGTCATTCCAGTTCTTCTACTTCCCAATAGAGGAAGACACAGCGTGAGAAAAAAAAAAACCCTCCGCCCCCATGTGGCAGTTTATCAAATACCTCTAATTATAATCCAAGGTTTATATTAAATTGTACACTTAATTCTGTTGTAGTTTCACAACACAGCAGTCAAAAAGTGGAATAACAGGAAAGGGACAAAAAGTAAGCAAAGACAACTGATGTCCAGCTGTGTACACACACACACACACACACACACCACACACACTCTGTGTGTCCTGTGGAGAAACAGGAACAGTCTCTGACTGTTCTCCGAGGACACCGCAGGAACATCAACCTCCGTTCCATCAGGGACAGAACAAAATGTTCCACTTATACTTTAAACCAGTGTGTGACCTGCACATAAATACAGACATGGGAATATCTCAATGAGTCATGACCTGCTGCTGCTGCTGCTGCTGCTGCTGCATTTCCAGGTCAGTGCAGGCAGGTTGCGTGATGTAAATATTGAATTTACCTTGTAATGCTAACTGACCTGCATCTAATTTCACTTTGACTGTTATTAATCATAGTTTTCTCTTTTAAAAACGATTTCTCTGGTGTCACTGAGAGGCTTTTAAATCACCTAATGAGATTGTCTCCTGAATTAGTTACTCAATTTAAAAATGCTTGCATTATATTAAAAATATTTACCAGTTTACATTAGTAAAATTACAATGCTTGCATTATATTAAAAATATTTAACTTATATAACTTGAGATTTGATCTGAAATGGTAACACATTCCTCTTTTTTTCAAAGATTATCAGGGAAATATCCAGATTCTTATAAAAAGTAAAACTGTCCTTAAAACATAGCAAAACATGGATAAAGAAATTTGTAAAAAATTTAGGTGAAAATGTTATAGGAGAAGAATAAAAATCTTAAATGAGAAACAGCTAAATGTTACCACAAAAAAGTGTTACAGCTCTTTTAAAATTCTGTTGATTGCTTTAGCGCCACCTTAGCTGCTCTCATCTACTCCCTCCATCTCTGCCAACAGACGTTAATCAGACGGGGACAGCCAGCTCGTAACATTACAGTATTCCACAGAGGGGAGGCCGTAACAGCCAGGCTGCACCTCTTCATTCATACATTCATTCATCCCAGGACAATAATCTCCATCCGTCAGATTCTTGGGGCCGCAGCACTGGACACTGTGCAATATACACTGTTCATAAAACATTAATGATGCTGTCCAGCTGTGCTGCTGCTGCTGCTGCTGCTGCTGCTGCTGTTGCTGTTGCTGCTTCTGCTGCTCTGAGGCAAAGTGAAATCAAAAACAACCCTGGTAGGCTGCCGTGCAGAGCTCCGCCTCAGATTCAGGATTTTTACCAAATGTCCTGCACATCACACAGATGTTGTTGATCTAACGTAGGCCACATGGGGCAGCAGTAAACCCCAGGGTCCTGTAGACCAGAAGTCCCCAACCTCAATTGCACCACAGATCAGTTTCACAATGTTCTCAGAAAGCAGTGCGATAATAAGTCTGACGTTCAAACGAATAGAAAGGCCTGCCACGTCAAAATGACTGAAAACACTGAACACAACATTTTCTGCAGGGATAAATCATGTGAGGGTCACTCTCATGCACAAGCTATACATTTGTGGGGGAAAATGGGGGGTTAAATGTTTTTGAAACAATCAACTAAAAATGTCACAACCTCCATGCAGTAACTCCATTAATGCTCTAGAGGTCAGACTATAAATGTCTGCTGTAGGAATAATTCTAATACACATGGCACCTAGATGTACTAAAGTACTTTCATGTCAAACAATATGCTAACCACCTACCTACATACACTACCTGGTCCATAAGACCCCAGCTTCTTGGTAAGTTTACAGTTAAAGTAACGCCACTTCTCCTCTGACTCCGCCCCCTACAGCTCTACATCCAGACCACCACACTGACCATCTCCATGAACCTCAGCGCCTCTGTGGCACTCGGGATGCTCTTTGTTCCAAAGGTCTACGTCATTATCTTCAAGCCGCAGCTCAACGTTCAGAAAAGGAAACGTTCTTTCAAAGCCGTCGTCACTGCTGCTACCATGACATCACGACTCTCCCACAAGGCCGGCTGCAGGCCCAACGGTGAGGCCAAGACGGAGTTGTGTGAGAACGTGGACCCCAACAGTAAGTACCAGAAGCTGGTCACATGACCTGCCAGAAAGTCATGTAGTTTGCTGTGCTGTTGTGCTGACAAAAAGAGAAAGAAACTCACTAGTTCATGTGTGTTTCCTTTCAACAGGTTAATTTGACCAGTTATCAACGGTAAGAACATTTGTCCATGTTTGTGTGTGTTTGATCCCTTCCAGCCTGAAATGTTTTTTTCTAATATTTAGCAATAGTTTGGTCTGATATTTCTTTTTGGCAGTTGTTTTCTGGTTTTGACGAGTTTGGTTGTTGGTGGGTTCTTTTCTTCTCTTGGCTTTCAGGTGCTACAGTGAGGACGTAAAGCTATGGCGACTTGGTGATGTCACCATGTCGGTTCATCAGTGTTGGCAGTGACGAGGTTGAAATAGACCTCCTGTGATAGATCTCCTGTGTTTTCTGCCAACAGAAAACCAGACGATAAGATGTTTGAACTTTTTTTCTTTGTTATGTGCTTCTCGTCAGACTTTCAGACGCTGCAGCAAAGCATCATGGGACTCTTTACGTGACTCTGAAAGCCAAACAGACTTTGTGTTATGGTTCAGAAAATCTAAAAGACAAAAATGTCAGTGGACTTGTTGTCGTTTGCTCCCGTCTTCACTCACAGAGTCACATGAGGGTCATTGGTTTTCTGCATACACCCCTTGTTGTGAAGCCCCGCCTCCTTGTGTCACCTGACGTATTTCCATGCTGCAAATTTTATTTTGTCCACGTGACTTCTTTATATCCTTTTTTTTTGACCTTGTCACTTGAATCAACGTTTGTTGAAAAAAGATAAAATATTCAAATGTTCATGTTTTAATTAAAGCCATATTCTCCACTCTGAGATGTGACCATGTCCATGAACCTGGGTTCTGTCCTGTTCTGTCATTCTCTACGATGTTTTCATTCGTCAGTTCAAACGTTTCATGTGACCATGATTGACGTTGAACCTGCAACACCTGGTCTCCTGTAACACCTGACCTGAGAACCTCAGACCTGAGATGGACCTGGCTTGGTTGATACTTTTTGTTGAAATGAGTTTCTACTCTCAGTCCATGTGGTCAATGTTACATTTTCATACTGAACAAAAAACAAAACAAGAACGTCAATTTCTTGGTTGGATGCGCAGACATTGCAAATTGTATATGTTGCCTCTGCTTTAGGTTGTCGATGTTCTGCATGGTCACGTCTTCACTGCTGATGTTTCCGTTTGTTGAAACTCCAGGTTGTCTGCGTTTGGCATCTTTGTAGTATTTTATTTGGTGTACTGAGCTCCATAAGTTCCCATTGTTGGTCATTTTTGGGTTGATGTTCCAGGTTTTCGGTGCTCTCATTGGGTTGTCGTGATCCATCTTGGAGTGGTTGGTGTTGTACTCAAGGTTGTCAATGTTTATTCCAGGTTGTCAGTGCAGGTTCGTTGATGTTCGTTTGTCAGTTGTCTGGTAAAGTCTATTGATCTCTTTTCTGGAGTTTCAAATCATTGCAGGTTTTGTGTTGTCGATTTTAGAGGTTGATTCCAGGTTTGTTATATGATTATTATCATGAATATTATCTCATTATTCCAGAGTATGTGTTCCACACTGTCCACTTTGACATGGACATCACTTCCAGGTCGTAACTATCCTGTTTGGTTTGTCCACGTTCTTAAACCGGACGTCCTTCAGCTTGTTTACCTTTTATCCTCACTTGTGGATCTTCCATGTCGGAAATGTTGCTGCTTGTTGACATTTATACCAAAACATCACCGGGAATTCCAGGATAAGTGTTGCTGTTTCTTCCAGAATAATAATATTCATGGCTTTCTAGTCATTGTTTTTTTTTTTAATGATTCTTTCAACTCCACCACCACTCCAGGTGGTTGATTTTCCAAATCCTAGCCGTTTTATTCCATTCTTCTTCTATCGTTGATTGTTACGGTATGTCGCTGATCTTTCCAATTTGTCACTGATTGATCCCAGTCATCAATTTTTCATGTGGGTGAAGTTCTGTGATGTTGATGCTCTTTTTTTTCACTAGTGTTCCAATGTTCCACATCAATATTATGAGCTTTAAGGATATTGATGGTAGTTCCAGATTTTCCAGAGTTTATTCCAGGGCTTATCACTGAACATTCCACTGATTGGTGTTCCAGGTCGTCTTTGTGTTCTTACTGTTTGTTCCAGGTTGTCATTGTTTGGACAATGCTCTGAAATATTTCTAAAAGTTGATGATGTTTCAGACGGTCAATTCTATCATGCAATGTTGTCAGTGTCCACTGTGAGTTGATGCTGTTTCTCCAATGTTATTCCAAGTCATCATTGTTCTACAATGTCAGGTTTTATTCCAGATTCCTAGTTGTCATTCTGGGTTGTCAGTGTTTTATCCCTGGAGTTCCTTTTGTTCTTCTAGTTTCTCAATTCTTCAGTTAGTCATTTTCACACTTCAAAAATGACCCAGTTTGATTTTTCCAGGTTGTTGATGTTGCCTTTTGTCAATGTGATTCCAAAACATAGATCTTGATGTTCTAGATCTTCCAGATTGCTGATGGTTGAGGTTGTCACAGCATGTTGATGTTAAACTGGTTTACATAGCTGACATTCCAAGTTTTCAGGTATTCCAGAAAGTTTTAGGTTGTTGTAAAATGTCTGTGAAATTCTGTGTTCTGTGTTGTCGCAGCAGCTCGTCGTTACATGTTGCTGACGTTGCAAATTGCCGAAGTTATCGCAGCAGGTTCGTGATGCTGACGTTCTTACAGGTTCTTGTTTTTCCCCAGGTGTTTAAGGTTTCCAGTGCAGGTTGCTAAAGTTACAGGTGCCCCAGGTTGTCGGTCACTGCATGCCAGATATGTTTCATGTTGAAAAAAGTTGGTGTTAAAGGTGAAGCTGTCAGCTGTCTCTGAGCAGAATATGGCTTTAATCTCTTTCTTATTTTACACAGAGAAAAAGATAAAATCTATATTTAAAAAGAGAAAAACTTGTGTATATAAAAAAAGAAGCATGTATGTTTTCTACAGTTTGTACTCAGTATTTTCATGTTGCCCTGCTGCTTCTGTGACCATGTTGCGGGACAGACTTCCCATCATGCAACTTTTTTGTGGTGTCGTCGCGAATGTATCCAGATGAACTAAGATGTTTTGGTTCTTTTTCTTTCCAAGTGTTTCCTTTTGAGGAAAACTGCAGATGTTTGGTATCTGTGTTTATTTCACTTGAATGGCCTTGATGAATATTTATTTATGAATCGGTTCCTCTTGCCCACCCAGGCTCCGTGTGCTCTTTGGATTTGTACCTGATTGTCATTTGCCTGAAAAGAAAAAAAAAAAAAGTGTCTCGTCTAATCTTCCGTTTTTATTTTTCTTAGTTTTTGTTGCTCGACTTTGACCGTGAAGAAAAAAAACTGTTGGAATAAAAAAATAAAATAGGAGAAGTAAATTCACATGACTGTGTCTCCAACCTGACTCTGATTTCACTGAACAACATCCGCAACAGTGGAAAACTCGTTAACTCGTACTGTTAAAGACAAAAAAAAACTAGTTTTATTGCCATAATTTGTTTACAATGTAACAACAGCATTGTCAAACATTAAATTAAATTCTCAAACAGTCATTTGACCAACAGGCAATACTTCACACAAAAAAAGTCCTTAACATTGGTGAAAAATAGTGAAAGGAATCACACAGTTTAGCACAGAGGTCTGCGACCCTTCCAGTGAACAATGGACTCTGCTACAAAGTCGACTTTTGACAGATGGAACCACCAGGAAGTCCAGGAACAGTTTGATGTTTACAATTCACCTGAGCTCTCGTCCTGTTGTTCAGCCATCTTTCAGGTTTTATTTCTTAAATTGTAAAATTAACGTGATGTTTTTTATTTATCAGAAGGGGGCGCAGGATCGCCCTCACTGCTGGTGGGAAGTGTTCTTTCAAACACACAATCTGCTGAGGATTCAACTGTTGTTACCATGACAACGCAAGTCAGAAAACAGAAGGATGAATGGGAAAGCTGGAACAAATACAGGTTCTATTCACTGTGTACTGGTGTGTTTATATGTGTATATTCGGAATTAACGATACACTCAACTCATGAAACAACTATTCACGATCCTATTGGTCTTATTTACCTTGTTGTCAATATATTAAACAACAAAAGAATATAAGAAACATTAACTAAATAGAGTTTCTTTCTTTACAGACACGCTGTAAAACACTGTATATGTCTGTCGAAGAAGTTCTTCTTTGAACACATGAATGTCACTTAGGCGATGTCGAGACCTGACGTTTTGGTTTAATTGCGGCTCACGATCAACGTTTTTAGGCGCATGCCGCCACCTGCTGACATACTTAGATAACGCAGCCTACTCGTTGCGCCTTGATGGGTGATTCACACACATATATATATATATATATATATTCTTGCGTTGTCTCCATTGCAGCCGCAACATCACAGCAGATTAGATGGGTTCTACCATCTGAAGGAAATTCTCCCCTCCCAAATGTTTCAGTTGGTTGGGCCCAAGAGTGGTCTTTTCTGTGTAGAGGTAACATTAAATAATATTGGCAGTGGCCCGGTGATGGTTGCAGAATGATGTTGTGTCAAGGCAAAAGGTATGCTATTATTACGACGTTACGTACAGTTTTTCCATCTCTGGTTTTCTTCACTTTGGCGATTAAAGCGTCATGTGAAGGACAAGTATTCCGAGCGTGTGAACGGTTTGTTTTAAATTGTCTGCACGCTGCTGATCCGCGGAGTTTGGCAGCCGGTTCTAAACAGTAGCCTGTTTGAGACGCACGTGTCGCTTCATTTGGCGTGTTATTGAATTGTACAAGATAGTGCTTTGTTATTTGACCACTAAATATGTGCACGAAGACCGTTTGGTTTGACTGTTCCAAACATTTTGGGTGTTGCGACTTTAGCCGTTAGTGAAGAAGTGGCTCGTTCTGTGGGGTACGTTATAAATAAAAAGTCCCAGAAATGCCTTTAAATACAAGTTTATGCCCAAAAACATGCTGCCAAGTGAATGATTTGTGCAAAAAAAAACCCAAAAATATTTTATCTGTATATTTCAAAATATCACCATAAAAATGCCTTAAAATGCAAAAAAATAAAAAGTACCAGAAATGCCTTAAAATGCTAGATTAAATTAATTAAATTAAGGCATTTCGGGGACTTTTTATT